GGGGGGGGAGACGGACGGACGGACTCAAGCGGGTAACCACACATTCCTGTCAAATTTGCCTGACAACAATTTGTGTATGACTGATGATGAGAACAATTGCTAAGTTTATCTGATAAATGCACCAACTAGTTAGACTGGAAAAAGACAGTAAAGACACAGCCATTTGTAATTCCATAAGCACTACTAGAATGCAGAAAAGGCTGAGTAGTCGTGTTGCCGTATGAAGAGGCGAGGTTTCACAATTTAAATTCCTGAGATGACACTTATCTATGATCTCATGTCTGACATGAAGACAGAATACCAAAATGTAAGTTCAGAGGATACCAATTGTAATCGTGTTCACACTGAGATTGTCACTATCTGTCTATTAATCGGTTGTTTAGTGTTATCTGATTACATAACTGTCCCTAATGTCTTTTCCATACCTTCTTTCCTACCTTATTTGCATTGTTTGATTCTTCTTCCACATCTGAGGCACGAAGGACAGGAACCCACGCCAGGATGTTACAGTCTTTACCTCCACTATACAGCTCCTACATACAAAAAACAAACAAGGACACCTCCATTGTGTCACATTTGTACACACTGCTAGGGCAATTAAAGGAACTGCTGTTGCAGCATAACCTTCATCTTAGCACTTCCAAACAGTGATGTCAGCACCTTGCGGAAACCAGCGTTAACAAGCATGATTGGGACCAAGAGTAAAATATTTAATAAGCTCAATAGCGCAAGTCAACTCGGGGGACACATTGTCAGTGGCATGGGACTGATCTGATGAGAAGATGAACTAGCAAATCTCATTTTCTGGAACTCTCCAAACAAGCTGCCAAACCAATGTGGAAACAAACATTGGTTTTGGTCACATTTGTTATGTCAATATTTGGCCGATTGTGGAACTGGCATTTTCCTGTGTCCACTCTAAAATCAAAACAAATCTGGTCTTTTTAAAAAGAATCTTAAGCTTGTTTTCCAGTGACATACCATATAAAAATCTGTATATGAGCAGGAAAATAGTTCATTTTACAATGGAAAAGTATAAGAAAACCAAACATATTCTTGTGTTCTTTACCTGTTAGGAACCTTTGACATTTTAAGCCAATCTCAACTGAAACTCAACATACTTATTTAGCCTCAAAGACATTCTCTGTTATTTTGACACACAGCACCATCACATTCGGATACACAGTACTGCTATTGTGTGTACTGTTTTTTTTAATATGTTTGTATGTTATCTTATTATTTATATGTTTAACTTGTGTGACAACAATTTTAACCTGCGATAGTTGAATCTCTTGTTACATGTGTCTGTACACAATCTACAAAAACCTTAATAATAGCCTCTATCAGGTCGTTTGTCGTGTAGTAAGGAAAACATAATTACTGTACATTTCATTTGTATGCTTCGGTGCAGTTAAACCTTCATCGTGTGGCTTCTGAAAATAACAATGTCACGGTCGACACTTAGGTTGAGAAGACTAACTTGAGCATTTGCATTTATAGTGGCTCAATATGCTCTGGAAATGTTGACTTTAACCATGTTATCTGTCAGAGGGAAGAGGCTCATTTGGGACTGCCATGGTGATTGCAAATTTCTCATAGCTGTTGCTTCAGCGACAACACCACAACGGCTGGACAGATAATGTAACAAGAGGGTTCACAGTTCTTTAAGCGTACAAGAGACTAACTAGACCTGACTTGCAGAAGAGACAAATAGATGGATGGAAGTAAAAACAAAGGCAGCACTACACATAGACTGGTATATTGGCGAGATGCAGGGAACAGTCACTACCTGGGACTTCGGTGTGACTCACCTGGTAGTCTGGGTGGAACTCGCAGCAGTCGACGTTGTTGTAGTGACCCCTAAGCATAGTGACAAGCTCTCCTGTGTGGAGGGCATACACCGCCACTGAGCTGCCACATGGCACAAACACAAACTCTGGGCTGCAGCCACGCGACACCGTGAACTGTAGCCTTTTACGACTCTCGTTGCAGACCTTCCCGTAATTTACCTAAGGGACAAACAGTAAAGGCACACAAGGTTCAGATAATCTGTGTATATGTCTAAATATAAGTTACGTATGACACTAAAGAATGTGAGATGGTTTCCTAGATAAATATGATGCTTTCCTTTTTTTGTTACATGTTGAACCATTTTGTGCAGCACCACCAAAAATAACAACCATTTATCCCCAAGTGTCACTTAGACACTTTTTAATGCTTCTTACACCTGAAAATAATAACCAGTAATAATTCACAATAAAGCTGTAGAACAGCTACTAAAATATTTTAAGTTTTAAGGCTTAAGGTTTAATGGGGCCCTGTGGACTTTTCTTGTAAACAAACAAAAGTTGTGCTTACATTTCGTTTTACCCACCACAACATTGTGTGTATCCTTGAGCTCTAATAAATGTGTTAAGTGTTTTTAATATACATTTAAAATCCTAAGTCCATGTTTACTAGTTTGTAGTGTTATTCTGCACTGTTTTTGCTGGCACATTACTGCAAATCTTGGCATGGTAGCACCACCTTCAGTGGAACTGGCCATTGGCAGGACTGCATATCGTGTCATTTGCATTTACAAGATAAACAAATGGGGACCCCACTCATAGAAAAGCAGCTCCAAAATGCTACTAAAAGTCAAAAACTCCACAGGACACCTTACATTTTTCACCAAAAGAACAGTACACCAAGAAAATAATTTCAAATCAAACAAGCCAGCCTTCATTATGTAGAATTACTCAGCTCTATTCATGTATGTAAAAATAGGTTTGAATTGTGTAACGCATTCCTTCTACATCCCCTAATGTGCACCTCTACTTAATCTACAATCCATCTCTGATCAGTAGAAGTTATCTACCCTTTAAGTCACTAGATGTCTTGTGCTCCAGCCTGAAGATGGAAAAATGCCCACCATGGCAACGGCAGCATGAGGCAGCAGAGCAGGAAATTAGAACAGGTGACTGTGTGAGAGCTCAGGACAAACAGCAAAGCTTCCCTTGGCTTTAAGCTTATGATTCTGTGGTGTGGGGCTGTGTATGGGTGTGGATATACAAATTGTAAACTATTTTAAGTAGACCAATGCCAAAAGTAAAATAGTCTGTAAGCCTGTAAGAGGAGTGATGTAAACTAGGTCCAATTTGGTTAACAGTGACAGATTGTTGGTTAGCACTGGGTGATTGTTAATCAAACATTAATTCCTGTTTCACTTGCGAAGATAGATAGATAGATAGATAGATAGATAGATAGATTAGATAGATAGAATAGATAGATAGGAATAGATAGATAGATAGATGGATAGATAGATAGATAGATAGATTTAGACACAACAGAGACCGGCCACAGCTGCCAAGAATAAGTTCTTGTTTCCTCTTACAGGTTGTAAGAGCTCAAAAATCGCATTTCATTACATTACACTGCCCATATCAAGCAATTTGGGGATAGCTCTGTAAGGTTTTTTTCTGCTCCCAAGTGGTGCATCAATTAATGTTGCTTCAATTGAACAGTTATACA